ATGAGGAATTTTCTTCCATTATTTTGTTTTGGCAGTATGATTATTTTTTCGACTAAAACAATTGTAAATTTTAGGTGCCCTATCAGTGTCATCTTCTTTTGATGTGTCAAAGCTGATCATTAATGGCACAACGTCCTAGTTTCTGGACTTCATAAGCGAGTAAGCCTCTAACTTTATTCAACTCTAAAGTTCGAATATAGAAATAGCTCCTAAAATCTAATGGTCGCGGATTTCCGGGTGACGGTGATGACAATATGATGGGAACGACTGTGACACAAACCACACAAGGGGATGAAAGTAAGGATGACATCCTAAGTGGGAATGCAACCATATCCACCCTGAATGCTTTTCTTAACACAACTGAGGTGATGGCATTCACTCTAAGAATGGAATTCAATAAGATTAATAGAAAATGGTGCTTACATGTGTGTGTTCTAACATACAGGAAGGGTTTTACTGGGTGCTTGGAGACATAGTCTCCATAGAGAATTTCCGAGAATGGTGTTATCTTAGCTGCCCAACTTGCAACAAGAAATTGAAACCTGAGGAAGAAAGGTTCAGGTGTTCTCATTGTAATGAGACTCTTGCTGAGGGAGTTTATCGATGGGTAAATGTTTCATAGTCAGCTAAAACACTATGTACATCTTCGAGTTGCTCAAGTTTTTACACGAAAAACATTACAGCTACAAGGTCAACATTTGTCTCATGGACAATTCGGGACATGCTCCATTTACTCTGTGGGACCGAGAATGTATTGATTTCTTTGGGAAAACATCAGAAACCTTGATGCTTGAATTGGAGAAGGTATCTCTAAAAATAAATGATTTCAAAACTTTTGTGTATTCATTCCGAAATTTGATCAATTTAATTTTGCGATAACAGAAAACTGGAGACACAACACGCTTTCCAGAAGAGATTGAGAGTTTGATTGACCAAAAAGCACTTTTCAGAATTCAGATAAAGAAAAGATCTGATGAAAATACTTACAAGGGAACTTTTTCTATAGGAATTGTATCAATTATTCGGACCGCCTCTGTGGTTGCATTGTACGTAGAGGATGAGAAGGAACAAACAGCCAAAGCGGATACGACCCCAGAAAAGGTAAAAACAACATAAACATGAGCTGTTTCGGTTAGCAAAGTAGACATTGAACGTCAAAAGTACTTAATCTCCATGTTGCCTCAAGCACAAGCATTGGAAAAAAGATAGCAAAGAAGGGTAAACGTGTTTCATCTGAGAAAGAGGTATAAACTTAAAGCTATTTAAGAAATGCTATAATAGGGTTTTCGGTGTACCATACTAACAGTTTTTTAAAAACCAGGACCGTTCTCCTATTGACCTACCAGATACTCCACCAGCATGCACACAGAGGGAGGTTGAGGTTGAACTGACTGATGAAATCAAACGTAATCTGAACGATGAGTTTTCTACCAATGGAAAAGTGAAGAAGCTGAAGATGAAAATCAAACAGGAACCTGGTGTTTAGGGAAACTAAGGAGTGATTTACTAAGACATTGTTTAAAAACCTTTTTTGCTGTTTTATGGCTGTGTGCCTTAGCTACTATTTTTGGATGTGTTCAAACACTAGCACAAAGACACTCTAAAGTGTTGAAAGGCTATTTGTTGCTTTATTTATCTATGTTTTGAGACCAGGGTTGTTCATTGAACAAATCCTACTGCCTTTACAGGTTCATGAAGTTGAAGTGTTCTACAAAAATAGAGAGGCATACTCATGATGTTTGTAAATAAAAAGGGAATATATTTCTAATCACGGTTTTTAATACAATTTTAACTGTTTTTCAGGTAAATAATGTTCAGTCAGAAATGAACGCAGTAGGATGCCTGGAGCAACCACGGCTGAAGAGGATAAAGAGATACGAAGTTGGGCATTGTTTACCTAGATTACAATTGTATTAGGGATGTTTTGTACCTACTTTATTTAACATTGAATAAAGTTCCTTTTTATAATGTTATTTTTCTAAGTTACGCAATGCAGGCATGTAATACTGATAATAATGGAAGAAGTGTTAGATGAGTTCATACCTGGGCCTTATGTTGAGCATACCTGCAAACCCTACTTATACTAAATTAATATTACAAACCCTTATGAATATTACATATAGTTGGTAACCATCTAAGCACCCAAAACTAAACCTATTACGGTTGTTTCTAATTACTCTTCAAAAGTCCTCATGTGGAGGCAAATTGTAACTGCAAGAATAATTGTTATTGCATTAGAAAGGTTGAAATAATAAGTGCAGATAAAATTTTATAAAAAACGGAAAGAATATTTAAGACAGAATGAGTCTAAGTGATTGTTTTTATTTTCGAGTCTAAGTAATATTGTTGAAAAAAGTTTACGTAAACTCTACTTTTAAAAAATACAGAATAGTAATTTGATTTTTATCCATAAAAAACAAGTATAGTTATTGGAATCGTTGTTACAGAAGTTAATGACAAGGACAGAATATTTTAAAAAGCCAAAAATGAATAGTCACCAAATATAATTTAAGTTTATTACATATTAAAAAAGAAAACATAATTTGATAATAAAGTTCATTTTTAACTTTAAATTAAAAGTGAAGGTAATTATAAAAAATAGAAGCAAGTAGTGAATAGGTTTTAATCATCAAAGGCTTGGTAAAACACAGCCCAAAATTAAAAATTATACTCTAACGTTGCTGCATTTTTTTATTAATTTTCCTTACAAAAGCATGGGAAAATCGCATATATGATCCCTTAATTATCCACGAAATTAAAATCTTAGGCCTGTATTTCTGAGATTGTAAATGTCATCCTTCAATTGTCCACATTGTTGTAAATGTGGTCCTTTAAGTTGTGAAATGTACTCTCACCCACATTGTATATTTCATCCCTCAAAAGGACCGCATTTACAGCATTTTGGACAATTGAGGGGTGACATTTACAATCTCAGAAATACAGGCCTGAGATTTTAATTTCGTGAATAACTGAGGGACCATATATGCGATTTTCCCTAAAAGCATTTATTAAAATTCTACTAATAATAAATAGAAATAAATTCATATGAATACATAAGTATGAATGGATTAGGAAGTATATAAAACAGGTCAGAATTGAGGTAATAAAAAATTGTATAAAACTGTTTGCCCAAATATATTGTGAAGCTCAAGTAATTTCCTCCACAATTAAACATGTAACCGATGTACTTCACTAAGTGCAAATATAATTTCTTCGACAAAGTTAATTGAAAATGATAAAATCTGTTTTTACTGCCTTTACAAAAATTTAATTTTAAACTCTAGGAATTTTTATAAACAACCGTTTTACTTTTTAGTTTAAGAACACAAATGCTCAGGAAAACCTTTAAAACTGTGAAGTACATGGTGGTTAAACAGGAAATTTGGGCAAGTTGTTTTAGCTCTAATGTGGCTGCCCGGGTATTTAAGATTTCAATTACCAAGGCTTCCAAAGGGCATATTTTTTTATGTTAAATATTATAAATAAAAAAATTTACCCGGAAGAATAATTGTTATTGCATTAGAAAGGTTGAAATAATAAGTGCAGATAACATAACATTTTATAAAAACGGGAAAAATATTTAAGTCAGAATGAGTCTATGTGATTGTTTTTATTTTTAAGTCTAAGTAATATTGTTGAAAAAAGTTTACTTAAACTCTACTTTTAAAAAATACAGAATAGTAATTGGATTTTCATCCATAAAAAAGCATAGTTATTGGAATTGTTATTTCAGAAGTTATTGTCAATGGCATAATATTTTAAAAAGCCAAAATGAATAGTCACGAAATATAATTTAAGTTCATTACACATTAAAAAAGAAATCATAATTTGATAGTAAAGTGAATTTTTTACTTTAAATTAAAAGTACAGGTCATTTTCAAAAATAGAAGCAAGTAGTGAATAGGTTTTAATCATCAAAGACTTGGTAAAACACAGCCCAGAATAAATGGTTACAGAATAGATAATAGCAAATGGAACCTGTCAAAGCATCAATATTAGAAAACATTTTTTAAAAACATTTGTCATCTGATCTGGTCTGGTCTGATCTGGTCTGGTCTGATCTGATCTGGTCTGGTCTGGTCTGGTCTGGTCTGGTCTGGTCTGGGAGGAATTACAGTCCAAGTAAAAACATCCTTAGTACCCATATTGAAATGCATTTCTTGTATTTTCAAGTTTGTAAATATCACTCATTAATTGTCCATATTGTTGTAAATGTGCTCCTTTGCGAGGTGACATTTACAATGTCGATGAGGATCACATTTACAATAACTGAGACAGTTGAGGAGTGACATTTATACACACTTGAAAATACGAAACTATATTTCAATATAAACACTATTTGAGAGAGTAAACGTGTGATTTTTTCAATAAAAAAAGAAATAATTACATATGTATGACTAAAATGAATAGTGTTTACAAAAATATGACTAGTGACTAAAGTAGTATTGAAATCATCGTAAATTATATTCAGTTTCTAAACATAAGTTAAAATGACACTACATTGTAGTAATTATTCGTCATATTTTTTAAAAAACTCCATAAGAAATACTTAGATTGTTTATGTATTTTCCAAAAAAGTGACAAATCATACCATTTATGTCCTTTATTTAATACGGAGTATTGAATATACTATTTTAATATTACAATTATTATAATTACATTATAATCACTGTCAGCTAGCCACTCCAAGTCTCCAACTCAATCACCGCCACTCCACACCGCGTTTAGTGACCATGAAACGTGGGAGGTAAAATCAAGAAAAAATATTTCTACCATTATTATAAATATGACACATTAATTTAATTTTCCATAGCTTGAATGTGAATATCCTACTTTAATGGGGTCAACAAAGTTTACAAGTTGAAAAAAGACCTGGCGAAGGATTATGTCACATTGGCAAATGGCACTACAAAAATCACAAGTCTGCCACCAAATTCTCCACTCCATTCTTCTCCTACTCATTCTCTCTGCGAATAACACTGCTTCAAAGCACTACCAACTAGAGTTCAAGACATTGAAATAGTACCACCACAAAAGAGAGAAAGAATCAATAACGGTAAATATATGCGTAAGAAAAACAAACGTGCACAATAATTGAACTGCAAAATATGGATTCGAAGATGATCACATTTTTCTTCTTCTTTTATACCGCGGTTGTATTTAGCAGTGTTGCATCCTATAACATCACTGCAGTCCTTGAAAGTTACCCCTCTTTCAGCATGTTCAACGGCTACTTAACTCGAACCGAGATCGCGACAACCATCAACTCCCACGCGCCTCCTGTCACTGTCTTAGCGGTGGACAATGCTAACATCTCCACATCTCTTTCCGGTAAGGCGCCAAATGTTCTAAAAAGAATCATGAGCGCTCATGTGATTCTTGATTACTTTGACGCTCCAACGCTCCAGAGGTTGGGGAACAGGAGTGTGACGGTGGCAACGCTCTTCACGAGCAGCGGTAAATCTTTGAATAATCAGCAAGGCTACATAAACATAACAGGTTTTGGGTCAGGGAACGTTGGCTTCACATCTGCTGCCTTGGCACAGTCCAGTCTAGTTACATCTCTTGTTTCACAACCATATAATTTCTCCTTGTTGCAGATCAGCAATGTTATACTTCCTTCCGGCATAGATATTAACTCCGGTAATCAATCCTCTTTGATGCTTCTCCTTTTCAATTTAAGCCCGATAAACATACTCCCTGTTTTCCCAACCAAACAAACATCATCGCATTTCTTACTCTCATATGTATAGTAATAGTAAATAGAAATAATGTAATTAATACTTTAAATACAGGGGACTTTTGGTTATGTCAAATTGTCTATCAGCCACTGTTTTGCTTTTGAATAAATTCCAGTTATTCCACTTTTGATTCTACAATTGATCCACATCTTTCACTTTGTCTTTCCATCAATATTTCCGGCACTTGAAGTCACCGGAGAGGCATCAAAAAATTGGACAGAAAACCACAAATGATCAAGAAACATTAGTCAAGTACACAAAGTGGACAAAGAGACAGACGTGACTTAAATATATAATTGACATAAAACTCATAAGACCACAAGTGGAATTAACTCTTTGAATTTTGAATTGACTTTGACAATTTGACTATTCAAATACTACGCACGTCCCATTATTTTGATTAGTATAATATTATGGAAGTCATAAACTTATACTTTTATGGAATTACTTTTGACAAACATTTCCATATCATTTTTATTATAAAAAAATTTCAATAAAAATATATTGTTTGGTTGTTTGAAGCGAATAAACCAAAAATGAAAAAGTCACGTTTAATAGCTTTTTCATTTGGTTTTATAGATTTGGTTTAGAGGTAAATCCTACAAGCATTACAAATTTGTGAAATAGATTTTCGTATCATAAAATAATATGCTTGTAGAACTTGTGAAAATGTAGTATTAATATTAATAATTTTAATTTCCAAAAAATGGAAGGATCCTCTTGGAAGTTTGGAACGTGCAATGCATGTGAAAGAAGATAAGGGAAAATATCAATATTTTGGAAGGAAATAAAATTGTGAGGAATTTTTACTACTCACATGATAAACTCATATTAATAGTAGTTGGTTGCATTCATATTTATTTATATTCTATTTCTATTACTCCTTCACTATTTTAATGTTCACTACATTAGGTTGCACACATTATTTAAGGAGTCAAGTGATAGGGATAGTGAATAGTGTGGAAAAAGTTGGAAAATGCAAGGGGTAGTTAAGTATTTTAAAAAAGATAAACTTACTAAAAAATTGAAAATATATGGAACTTTTAAATACAGTCCAAAAGGGAAAGCGTAGAAAACTTTTAAATACGGAGGGAGTATGATACGGAGTATATGAATGCTAAACACTTTTGATCCAATGGATTCAACTTTTGGTCCGTGTCTTTAATTCTACTCACTTTTTTATGAAATATTCTTCAAACCCTATTATAATATATGCTCTTAATTCTACTCACTTTTAAAATATTAAAATGTTTATTTTTTATAAATGGTTCTTTCATTGATATTTTCGGCAATTGGAGGATTGTCTCAAAAGTAAACTCAGATATAAAAAATATATTTGTGACAGAAAAAACGACCCTAATAACACCTTCATTATACCTTTGCGTGCAGGGCCTGTTAGTAGCCCAGTCATACCTCCCGCTGCCAGCCCAAAAACATCTCCTGCTGTGAGCCCAAGCAGAGCTCCAGGTGCGAGCCCAAGCAGAGCTCCTTACGCAAGCCCGGCAGAGCCTCCTGCGCCTAGCCCTGCCGGTGCAATCCCAGCCAAGCCTCCTGCTGCAAGCCCAACTAGGCCCCCGGCTGCAAGCCCATCAAGGCCCCCGGCTGCAAGCCCAACTAGGCCCCCAGCTGCAAGCCCAACTAGGCCCCCGGCTGCGAGCCCCTCCGCACCTAGCCCAAGGAAGATGAAATCTCCGGCACCCGCTCCATCATCTGCAGCGCCAACGCCTGCTGAGGCGGCGGGGAACGACAAATCCAGTGGCGCCACCGCTCGAGGGGTCCGTGCTACTCTTGTAGCCGCCGCTACAGTCTCATCAAATCTATTTCTTGTCTTCATGGTTTGATACAAGCAAAGCAAATAGGCTTCTTTTCACACTAATAAGTGCCATTCCTATGTTTCTACATGTTCAGATGATCTTCTTCTTCTTTTCTTGAAGCAGGTGAAATTATTTTGAATGCATCATAATTTCCTATCATGTACAACTTCATTTCTAATGCATCAACACACTTTTCCTTATCAAATCATCAAAGCCATCGATTTGTGGAATCAAATATGACGTTTTTTTATTAATATTACCTATAATACTCTCAGAGACAAAAATGTGACTTAAAATATAAAAGGGAGTTGCTTCCACCACCTCCAAAATTGCTTAATCCATCTCTCATCGGATACATTTGCCCTTTTTAATTCTTTATACTCCGTGCTACATACTTTGTACTAACTATTAAAGGAGCTGCTTCTCACGTGTTACTCTAAATAAGTTTTAAAATGGATAATGTTTTAAAAAATCTAACCCTTTTCAAAAAAATATTAAATAAACTTTAAATTATGTGTTATTATTAAATAAGTTACGGTGTATTATTTACTCCTATTTGGAAAATTTCATCTTTTGATGATCCATAGATCAAGATTAAATAATTAAAAATATAAATATATTTTGAATGCAGTCAAATGAATTTTTGAAGATAACTACGCAGTTAGGCAGCACAGTATATTTTAGAAAATTATTTGAATGCCTTCTCAATTGATTTTTTAGCTGAAATTTGGTATGAATAAACTAGACTTAATGAAGAAGATTCTCAAAAAATTTCATCAAAAAATTTCACCGGAAACCGGTCCAAATGGCGACATCCGGACAAAACCTCCTGTAAAAGGGCTTATTTGCACTTTTTATGAAAGTTCGGAGGCTTATTTGATAATTCTCCCTGAAAATTTCAATTTAGCGGGAAAAAAGGTGTTGTTGACGGAAGTTAATTCGCAGAATTGACGTGCACTACATATGTTAGGGGAGTTTGATTTGCTTTATGGTGGGTCTACACGCAACGGTTATACGCACTACCTATGCTACATAATTTTTTTTTGCATTTTGGTTGCTTTATAAAAACTTGCTTTTTATCTTTGTTAGCGTGCCACTCCCTTCCGTCTAGGGATGGACTCGGGCCGGGTGGCCCGACCCGGAACCGGCCCGGGACCGGTACTGTTCCGGCCCGACCCGGTGACCCGGTCAGTGACCGGTCCGGGTAGGGCCGGCCCGTGGGTTTTCCGGTCCGGGCTCGGGTCACCCAAAACAAGGCCCGACCCGGTCGGGCTCGGGCCCGGTTCGGGCCAAAAACTATTTTTTTGAATTTTTTTGAATTTTCAGATTGGGCTGGGTATTTTGGGCCATTTGGGGTGGTTTGGGGGGTTGGGGGTGGGAGGGGAGTTAATTAGGAAGAGGAAAACAAAAAAAAATGATAATGGGCCCGGCCCGGCCCGGACCCGGACCCGGACCGGACCCGGTGGTTACCCGGGCTGGTCCCGAGTCCACCATTTCTGAACCGCCGGCCCGCCCGGGCCTAGGCCCGACCCGGACCCGGCCCGAACCCGAGTCCATCCCTACTTTCGTCCCAATAATAGGGAGTAATTCTTTTACAAATACATCCAATGCTTTCGTGAAATTAAGAATTAGGGTCTAATACTTACAACACATATATGCATGACAAGATGGCAGATGTCATTGATGTTTTTACTTGAATTGTTTTCAATCCCAGATCAGATCAAACCAAATCGGACTTAAACAGATCGGATCAGACCAGACTTTCATAGTTATAAAATACACAAAGACCTGAGATTTATCAGACCAGATCAGTTTAGACCGAACCAGACCAGACTTAAACAGACTAGAACATATTAGACCAGACAACAAATTACAGTCCAATTAAAAAGTTCCTAGATCAAATTATGGGTGCATAGCTTATGCGTAGACAAGATTCCAGACAATGTTCAAATACGGTTAGTTTTCGTGTGTTGTTCTCTCTCTCTCTACATGTCTTGAGGCGAAGAATGGATGGTAAGGGTTAGAAATTCTGCCTTTTCGGACAAGACAGCCGTTTCAGAACCGGGATCAAGTTGGTTACCAATTCCAAAACTTGGACTTTCTAACTTTTTAGAACTTCCAATCGAAAATTATGCTTGTACTTGCTCCTTATACCCACAAATGTAAGAAGTTGTTTTTTCATGGACAAAACAAGATGTGTGTTGTTTAAGAATCAATTTAAATATAAGTTACAGACTAATATCAGGGCGAGAGAGGAGCGGCAATGGCATGGGGAAACCCTAGCCGCCGTCTCATCTTTTTCTCTACTTTTCTTCTCTTCTTTCAATCTTCTTTGATTTCAATAATAGAAAAACATCTTCTTAATGAGTGTTTTCAATTTTATTCATCTTCTTTGATTTCTTTCCCAACGTTATTTGGAGGTATTATTTTCGATAGCAAAATATCATCTACCAGAAGCATATTCCCTGTCACTGTCGGTCAGGCGTTCTTGTGTGCTAAGAAGAGATTTGCACTGATCTCTTAATCAATCAAAAAAATGATTTTTTTCTGCGCCGATATTGAGACAGATCGCCCCCCTCCCGAACCACCACCGTTCCAGGAAGATGAGATCATTTGGATTGCTTTCTTTTCAATGGGTGGTGAAACGGGAACAAATTCTACCGTTGACTCCTTACCGATGGCTGGAGAAACTTGGATGTGTAAGAGTTCTTTTGATAATTATTGTGATTGTAACAGGAGCAATCAATCTGCGGGTAGAGTCTACTTCTTTGCGAGATTAGCGATACGATATTTTCAATTAGAATCGTCCGTTTCTATGTCTCATTTCATTGTAGCCTTGAGCTTTATGATTGTAATGTTTCTTGTCATCTTCATTAATAATAATTAAGTTATTTATTTTCAAAAAAAAAAATCAGTTTAAATATAATCTTTTTTACATCAGCGAGTATAAAGTAGGTATAAAGGTGGGTACAAATGGGTGGGTACAAATAGGCCGACCAATATAATTCAGTAGACTGATTTGTAGTTATTGTATATCCACATATCATTTTCTTGGTGTCCGAACTCCCGATTTTGCGTTTTTAACCATGTTCACTGCCATTTTGAGGATACAGAACACATGATCTTTCTATCGTTCTATTAAATGAATCATCATCAAAACATATGATCAATTTAGGCCCTTCATTGTATTAGTCTATATACGAAGAAGTGCCGATTCAGAATTAAAAAAAAAAGGGGTTAACCTGAGTTATTTCTTCTTCCTGTGTTTCTGAAAGTTGGGTTTGATTGGCTGGCTTGAGTTTATGCCCTGACCCACCGACGATCCATATGGAACAAGTGGCTTCTTAAGGAACCCAAATGCATCCATAATCATGGGAACACTGCATGATGTCACCGGAGAAGCTGTTTTTCTTTTTAGTTGTTTTGGGATCTCCAGTCTCTCAAGGATTCTTGATGTTTTCTCGTCTAGTTGTCTAGATTCTTGTGGTGTAGACAGAATCAATGTCTCAAACTTTGGGTTTGGGGGACATGATGGAGAACAAATTTTGGGTTCCCTGGTCACGATCAGTTTTTCCCATTCCTCAGCAATTAGCTCACTGGTTATCTCTCCAACACCTATATCCAAAACTGATATATTTTCTTCTATCATTTTCCCCTTGGTTGACTGTGTTGGTTGTGAAGCCTCTGCTGGAGTGTCTTGTTGGTGGGAGTGTAACACGGTTGCTACATCTCTGAGAGGCATTGCCCTGAAAATTTAAAGGGGATAATGATCATGACAAGTTAATTATCACACAAGCTGTTTGCTTACCCAGACACCCCCTTAGTATGTTTGCAACAGCTTATCAGAAAAGAAATTGTGGTTTTGTTTTGAAAGTACTGTGTTGTCGTCTTGTCAAAATATGCTTTTTATATGAGTGTTAGGATAGCCATTTGATTAAATGTCATTTTAAAGTATAGAAAACAATAATCCCTTTTTAATATGCATTTTGTAGAGCATGATTAGATGAGATGGATGGGCAGCCTGGTGCATGAAGGCATCCGCACAAGGCGAGGGTGCGGGGAAGGGTCCCACCATAAGGGGCAACCTTTCCCTTGTCAAATTTTTGACAAGAGGTTGATCCCAAGAATTGAACCCGTGACCTTTCGGCCACACAACAACACCTTAACCGATGCGCCAAGACTAACCACCTTCTTTGTAGAGCATGATTGAAAAAATAATAATAAGTTAAGAGGTCGATTTGATCCGAAAGTAACAAACCACTCGAATAAAGAAGCTACAATTTGCAGCTTCTTGAATTTAGCGCTTTGGTAGTGCTTTGTTCTTTAAGAAATGCTCCGCCCAACACTTAGCACTATAATATTTTGGGAGATACAACCTTCAGCCAAACACCACCTAAAATGAACTATATTTCACTTTTCCAGTTTGGAATGGAGAATCCAATCACAAGGGTACTTGTTGCAGATAGTCTGGAAGTGATCAATACTACTGAGGCTTTTTTGCGCATCACTATGCCTAATGAACCAGAATTAGTACTGCATTAATATATTTTTTGCAGGCTTTTGAAAAGGGAAAAAACATTAGTAGCCTGAAACCACTTGACATTTCAGCTAATTTCAAATCTTGTATCAGATGGAATGGAAAATAATGAATATCTCATAGTTCCTAGTGGTTCTAGGATCCTACCATTAATGGGATGTTAAATGTGAGTTTTTCGTAGTTTAGTGGTCAAATAGAAAGACATGCTCATGTTAGTATATGCAAAAACTACAAGTAATTACCCAAATTGTAGGCTTTCTTTCACCAGAGTGTTCAGTTTTTTATGAAAGCCTCTTTCATGATGAAATGGATCGTAGTCACTTACTTCCATCTGTGAATAACAAACAAACAAGAAATGTACAGCTAGTGCTAAAAACCTTCTGAAGAAATCCAATATCAGTACCTTGCATTTATTGAATGCACTCTCACACAAAAGTATACAGGTCAACATATTGTATACATATTTCCATTTATTTTTACTCGATTTCCTTATAATTAATGCTGGTAATAGTTTTTGTTTGAAAAACTAATTGTATTCCCATTATTTACTTGTGAAATTGTGAGTAGACCATCAGCAGCTCTGCATTAACACATCAGATCTCAGAAACTATAAAATGGGATGCATGCTCTTGTATGCTACACGTCCAAATAGAAGAACCAATCTACTGACCTTAAACAAAGACGCTTGAACAGAATTTTCAATATCATTTGCTACCTTCATATGCGTAAAGGGCAGAACTTCAGGAACGGGCATGATTTCCTCTGATCCAGCAAGCCGCTGCAGTTTCATATGCATAGTAAATCACTATTCAAGGCCTAATAAATGTGTGAAAATCGTACAGGAGGTTGAAGAAGCATATAAATTGCATTAACGAAAATGCTAAGAAAGAGAAAAACAAATGTCAAATAAATAATGACTCTTCTTCAGGATGGGACAACAGATATAAGGAAAAACTCACCCTAAGAAGCATAATTCCTCTTTCTGAAGGTAAAAGTAAATAATAGCACAGGAAGGAAGTCTGCCTTGCAGTATCGATGTTGTAATTTGAAGAGCAAACTATACCCTGGTCAAGGGAGTTTAATAAGCTACTCATCACTTGAAAAACTGCAAAAAGCACAATTTGCGTTCATTAACTAAATAGCTAAATCTCATTGGTCAATTGTTCAGGACAACTACAGATGCTGTATTAAAAAGAAGCTGTCTGCGTACCTTTACAGTATAGCTCTGAATTCTCTGTCTCATCAGACTCAAGAAAAGCTGGAGTGATGATAAATGAAGAACCAAAAATGATTCCTGAAAATAGGGGAATAAAGACAGATATTAGTGGTCAACATCCCACATGAACCAGATATGTACTAGCTGATCGATCAAATTCTCATATACTCACAATGTGTGCCGCTGGCATCAAGACGTATTACTAAAAGGTCTTGAAAATTTATCCCAATTTGTAGATATTGAAAAAACTAAGAGCTAACAGTATACTTTACTCCCTCTGGTTCACAATGTGCCACTTTGGAGGAAATTAGGGAGATTAAGGCATCATTAAATAGATTTCTTTTTTACAATGTTACCTCTCTCTAAATAATCAAACTATTGGATACGGTCTTGGTTTTACGAAGCGAATATCTATAAGGGAAAAAAGTCCTCGAAGGTGACACTTATTGGGCACCAAAGGGAGCGTATTTTAGTCAAAAGCTAAAGTGAATGAAATACAAAACATATGGTGCAGTTTCTTTCTCTCAGCTAACAAAAGACTGAAATTTTGTTTTTTTATTTCAAGTACCCACCTTCATTAAGTGAATGCAAACTAGTTCTTTTAATGGCATTGAATTCAACAGGTGAAGAAACTCGTGGGATGTCCTGACAGGGATGAAAAGAAGGCAAGTACAGGATTATATTTTCTCCAATCTTTACGGAGTTCTCAATGATGTTTAGGATTACAAGTTCATCCCCAGTGACTGGACAATAATATTTCACATTTGTCTCTTTCCTCTTTGAGTCATCTAAGGGCATGCCATGACACCTGCAAGTCTGTAGGCAACGGAAGCAAATGATAGTCCCGGTCATTGCAAGAGAGAAAGATGTCCTTTGTCGAAACAAATGCAAGTAACATACCATTCTCATTGCAGGTTTGCAAGTTGCCTAATGTGAACGATTAGCAACTAATAGTGTATTAGCAAAGTATTACTATTATTATTATTTTCTTATTATTATTATTATTATTATTACTATTATTATTGTTACTCATAGTAGTAGTAGTAGTAGTAGTAGCAGCTGCAGTTTCCTATTAGTTCGGGTATTCTTAATAGAAGTATATGTTTAGTTATGGATACCAAGATTAGGGACTAGTATAAAGGTACTCTAATAATCAAAAAGAGGATCAATCTTTTGGAATAACAATTTGGTATCAAAGCCGTTCGTCTCCAATCTGTTTCCCTATTTTTCTGCTTTTTTCTTTTCAGCCCAGAATCTCGGGAAAAAAGTCTCCAGCACTGCTGGACCATATCATTTGGCGGAACAAACCCACCAGCAAGGAAACAGTTCAGAGCCAATTTACTGGAGACCATTACAAAGATTATGCCCTGTTCTTCTCTCAACAGTTCTGAAGTTTGCTTTTATCTCTCAATTGAAGTGCTGATTTATTAGTGTCATCTTTTTGGACTAGAGTTTAGTTTGGGGATCAGTGTTTGATTTTTTTATTGATGACTTTGTTAGAGTTGTTTTTTCGTTAAGTCAGGCCTCATGGTTTAATTTGAGTAAAAATAACATCAACAAATTCGAGAAAAGTACAGCAAAAAAACTATGAAAAATACTCCGTATATAGTAACTAGCTCTCGCACTTCGCATAATGAGAATACCTTGCGACTTGTGAGGCTATCTCACCAGAGGAATTATCCCCACTATGACAAATAGGTATGCTCGATGAGTATATCAGTCAGTTCCAGTGTTTATTGGCGCACACCAAGGATTAACCTTCCCCAAGTAAAGTTCTTTACAGGTGAACTTCAAGATGACATTCGTTTATACCGGCCGCGTGGATGTGGTAATCCATTTGGTGCAAGCTATTAAGCGAAGGCAACACTCACAATGTGATTCGCTATCTTTACCAACATCAGCCCCATTGCTCACGTCACTGAAATATCCTCCACCAAAATGTCAAACTTTTCTCTACGGTAGTCAGCCTCTCAACTGTTTCCACCACTATTGTTAGATCTTCTTCATCATCATTACCCCAGTGCCGCAAGGGCGGCCATCTACAGTGGGGTAAGGGGATCAGATGTATGCAGCCTTACCCTTGTACTAAAGTACAGAGAGACATTTTTATCCACATCACCATCAGTATTGTTGTTTCCCACACAACAAGCCCTGCCACAATAGGCCAATCTACCACTAACAATAACACCCTTGCTGACACTGGTGGAGTTGAACCTTCATCCTTAGCTCCTGCACATTTGCTGCCAACACCCAAGATGCAAGAAATAATATGGAGACTCCTAGGAAGGGAAGATTTTCATGAATCACCCGGGTATTGGGCATTGGGAAATTACACATAGTCGTGTGCCTACAACCTATATGGTGGTTATATAATAATGATGTTTGGTCGTGGAAACATTGACATCATGGGCTATTTGATTCGAGCTTGAGCAAAAGTTTGATGTTCGTGAGAGAGTAATGATGTGGGTGTTAGTAGTTTCCTTTTGGCTTAAGTATTCTGTTTTAGTTAGCATTCCTAATATCAGTATTGTACGGAGTAATAGGTTGGTTTTAGAGTCACTTTAATACATGGGGGTGCTCTATTCATTAGTAAAAGGATCAATTTTTTGGAGCGCGCTCCTTGAAACTGACGCACTTCTTTGCTTAGGGCAGCAGGAAGTTGGCTTTTTTCCCAATTTTATAGACTTTCAATCTTCTTTTCATCTCCCAATCACCATTTGTACTGCAAGTTCGCTTACTGCCTTTTCCCATTTTTTCCACCTTAATTTACTGCAGATGCCACATGTTTTTTTAGCAGAACATCAAAATCTTAACAAGGCTTCATTGTCATTTCTCATATAAAAGCTTGTACACACTTCAGCATCCCAAAGCATTTCAAATATTAAACCAAAACATGCCTTAAAAACATATGGAACATGAAACACAGAGAAATGAAAATGTGTACAACTCATAAAAAAATGTTTACACTCCCACATCTTGAACTTATCTTCCTGTTTTCCTTATTTATCATCGTCAAACAATTTTTGTGTTTACTTTTTTAGGAAAGGAAAGAAATGTGTGATTGTTATTACTTCAGTCATTCAGAATCTAGAGCACGCATTTTCATTTTCTACAACTCTACTTAACAAGTGTCTTAATTCAAACCAGAAGATAATCGCAAAGCATATGGTGCAATCTATTGGGATGCAGTAGAGCTGCTACCTGATAAAAGTAGAACATCCCCACATTTGTATATTAAATTGCCTGAAAAGTATAATTTATGTGTAATACCTCACACGGAGAAAATTCGTCTATTATCTGATTGACAGGTGTAGACACATTACACAATATCTTGTTGGAAGAGCCTACAAGATTGTTCTTGAAGATAAAACGAGCCTGTAATGGCTCTTCCATGTCATCCTTCAACTCCAGGGACCACTTCATCACTAAACCAAAAAACACACGTGCATCTGAAATTTTAAACAATTATCTGTTAGCCCACATTAAAGGCATACTTGGATAGCGAAAAAAGCTAGAGAAAGAATAAAGAAAGTAAGAGAAGTGATTTTGTTGTGTTTGATTTTACCTCGGAAAATGAAAAGGCATATAAAATATGATTAATGTGTTACTTTTTAAACATATACATAGATATCTTAATCTTTGTATATGATATTAATATAGTTTATAATAGGTAGGTAGGTAGGTAGGCAGGTAAACACGCACATACAAATAAATATATAATTAAATAAATGATGGATGGATGAATAAATAAATAAGATGCTTTTAAGCAAATAATCATAAATAAAATGATTCAGCTTGAACCAGTATTTGGTTTCCTTCCACAATCATTCCTTCTAAATCTCCTATATATTTTCTTTTCTATTTTCTTTCCCTGGCATTATTCCAGTTCCAAAGGGACCCGAAGGAAATCTTATTCAAATTATCCAAGGAGAGCGACTAACCTTGAATTCGGTGTTCAAATATACAATTCTCAAGATCACCAATTTCCTTCAAAAAGTTGTTAATACTTTCGGGAATATCAGCAAGGTGACTTGAGGTTTGCTCCAGGAACACAAACTCTACAGAAACACACTTCTCTGCTGCACCCTGTCAGAAAAGGCACCACATTTGTTGAACTCAAAATCTAACATGGTTTTCCGGTTAGGATGAATGAGCCTTCCTGCTCTACACATTCTAATCTACTCCCTCTGTCCCATAAAATTTCTCACTTAACATTTTGGGATGTCCCAAAAAATTCTTCACATTTCCTTTTTTTGGAAATTTTTGTGTGGTTAACATTCCTTTTTTTTTTTATTTTATTTTTTGAAATTAAAAGGCCCCCCAGACCCCCTCCTCCTTTGTGTTGCTAACATTCATTTACATTTTTCTTTCTCAATCACAATTATGCATTTCACTTTATTCCCCAACTTTCTTAAACTCCGATCCAAGTCAAACCGGGAAGGATTTTATGAGACGGAGGGAGTATAAACGTTTGATGGTAGTAACTGGACTTTACATTTGTATTGGTGATTGGAAGCTAATCCCGCCTTCCTAGTGTCTTTGCTTCACCTTTTTTTCAACCGTCCTCAAGGACTGCCCCGTAAGTCGTAACATATTTGGTAATATTTGATTCAAATATCAATCACATCATTTCACTTTCATTAATGTGATTGCCACTCTATCATGCATTAAAGATATTGGAATGGAAATAAATATAGTGATCACAAATAACTGTTGAACTGTTAGGTCACACTGCTACATATATAGATGCAAGTGGGTGCCTTACCGTCAGTGCCATTCTAGTTGTTGAGTCTAGACTTTCAAGTACACAAGAGCTTATCAGCACAACTTTTTTTGTGATATCTTTTTTCTGACTTCCCCATGAATACAGAACTTCATCACTTAGAACATCTGAAAGTTTCATATCTGCAAATAACACATCCATACGAGAGCATGTATCAAGAAAGCAAATGATCAAGTAAAACAGCACTCAAGTATTCCCGTATGAATTTAACTTCATGTTTTTAATCACCTTGAGAACACAAACAAGCACATTTTAGTAAAAAACTTACCGACGCCACAAAAAGACGATGAATTGTTGAAATCTGGACCGAAAGCATCAATAGGAAGACTGTTAACCGCGCGGTGGAAATCACGGAGATTGAAGTGGCCTCTCGGTCTATAAGCCACCTTCAGCTGCTTACCACTTTATCCATCAGTTACAAAGCAGAAGCATTAATTGAACGTTTCTATTGATGAATTTAGTCAATTTACCAATGTAAGCTGGCACACACTCAAAAACCTTACACCCTACAATATCTCCATAACTAACCATCACAAGAGCGTGAAGCATGCCTAACCTTATACTGCAAATCGTTCCTTCTACAGAAATATACACGAAAGTATTCCGAGTATGATATAGTCGTGCACAGTATACTTGTATAACTACCATTGACGCATCCTAGGACACAGACTTTAGAAGTAGATTGACAGTTCTTATACCTCATGGGCGCATGATATGCGATTTTTGAAAACGTAGCATAGTCCGATCCGATCGGGCAGTGGTTTGGGCTTCGATGGACTACCATTACTAGCTGAAGAAGATATTGCGTGAAAATTCGCTAACTGCAACAATAACTGGCATCGCAAAATAGGTACCTCTCATATCAATAGTGATTAGGAGATAGTTTTAATCCGAAATTTCATTACGAAACGAACACGCAAGAGATTAAAAAGACGCACGAGATTAACAACTACTTTGGGATTCGGAAACAGATTTACAAATATGTGCGCACATTACCTGCTTCAGATCGTGAAGTAGCGAAGTCGATATGCATCGGAGATCCAAGACGAAGCAAAGCATCGCCATTTCTAATTCCGATTCTCTATCTTAAAATTTGAGATGCTTGTTCGAGTGGATATAGCAAGAGCCAAGAGTAAATAATGTTTTAATTGACAAAATAGGATTAAGGTATAAAAATTCCCTAAATAGGATTCATTATTTGTAGTTGGACAAAGAGACCTTGAACAAAGAGACCTTGAACCTTGGTAACATGGTGCCACAAACACAATGTCAGATCGCTGCCACTCGCCGGCCATCGTAGTGGCCTCAAAATTGGTCACCATTGCAGATCTTGCCTCCGCCATTGCAGATCTGGCCTCCGCAGCTGCAGATCTGATCGTCGGAGCCATAGATCTGGCCGCCTCCATCCGCCGACTGCTGCCCTTGCAAATCTGGCCTCCGCCGCTGCATCTCTGACCGCCGTTGTCGCTATTGTCAACATCTTTATCGGAATGCAACATGAAATTGAAATTGCCATTTTAATGGCATTTTCGAAAGGAAACACGAAATTTTCGAAGAATAAGAATGCCATTTGGATGGCATTTTCAGAGTAAATTTGGCAATTTAAACAAGCAAAGAAGAAATCAGAAGCATCAGACATGCGGGCTGCGACAAAAACAAAAGAGGGGCAGACAGAAAAACAGTATAGGAGGAGGAGAATGAAGAACAGGGAGTGCAACGAGCTTCATTCTACATCAACAGATCTGGATCGAATTTGGCCTTCTCTGCTCGCCTCTGGTTTCGTTGTTAGCTGATGGTCGCCGCAGTTGCTCGCCGCTTCTGGACACTCGATGTTGCAGGTTTTAACTGGAGAAGATGAGCAAGTTGAAGAAGACAGCTAATGCGCAGAGAAGTGGTGCGTGGAAAAGTGAGGCTCGTTCATGCGCAGAAGCTTATGCAAGTAGAAGGGGTAAATTTGGAATAGGAGTCTTATTTGGGAATAAAAATATATCTACTCCTATTTGGGAATTTAAACAACAATTTAGTCCTATTTAGGGTAAAAAACTCATATAGCAAATTACTTGTTCACCAAAGTAGCTTCTCTGGTTTTAAAATTTGTTCAAGTTTTAGCGCGTAGTCGGCTTAGCTGATGTTGGTTAGTCATAAAATGTAATGGTAGCCGATTTTTTTTTTATAATACACGTGTGGGGCTAGGCTCCCCCCATAATCCTGGAGTCTATGAACTACCCTCCAAAGCCCTAGACAATTAATCTGGATCTGATTACAGTCAGCCTCGTCAGTATTGATTCCAAAGGACGAATCCAGCAGGACTTACATCACCTTTCAGGCTGCTCCTCCCACCACACGAACCCGCTAGCTTCATTACCATCCTCTCCCTTCTCGGCCGCTGAGCAACTCCGTGAAGGTAGGAAGAATCATTGGGAGCAAGACCTCTCTCCTCTCCCCTAAATGTGCCTAGCGTGATTCGAACCCGAGACCTCCGCTAGGACACAGTAACCTTCCACCCAGTGAGTTGGAATGGTTGGTTATGGTAGCCGATTATAATTTGCTCGTGTGAGTGAGTTGGATTGGTCTCCTTAAATCAGGTCTGATCTGGTTTGACAAATGTTTTATTTCTGTGTATTTTATAACTATGAATGTCTGATCTGGTTTGGTCTATTTAAGTCTAATCTGATCTGTTTAAATTTGATCTGGTCTAATCTAGGACTGAAAATAGTCCAAGTTAAAACATCCTAATACCAAAAATGTTATGAATCATGTGTGACTCTCTTGAGTCACTTGGTATCTCCACGACTCCACCACATGTAACACCGTCCCCAAGTATATTTACTTTTTAGTAAATCGTGTGATAAACCTTGAATAATGATTGATGAATTTACGAGGTTGTAAAATTTTGTTATTATTTTTGCGTGAATAGTGAATTGCACGTGGGGCCAACATCGGGAGCGGGGACCACCCGATAATCCCGGGAGCACATATTATATTCATCTTGGTCTAGATGATATTTATATGATGGTATATGTTTTAGTTGGGCCATAGAAAGGGCATAGGGTTGACCCGTTGGTCAAACGAGGCCCAATTACCGATATTGGTAATTTATCGGATAACAGTCCGAAACGAATTTTGGAGACTTCTAAATTAAAGATGGGGAATGTATATTCATTCTAAGAGCCCATAATGATAGAGGACACTTAATATATTTTATTTGACCCGATAAAATAAAGTATAATTAAAACAGTCCGAGAAATACAACTTTCAGGACCGATTGTACAGCTCGGGACATAAAGGGATGACCTCCCACATGAGTGGGGGCCACCCCACGTTTTTGTGTGTGCTGAATTAGACAAATATGGGGCTGTTTGACTTGGAAGGAGAGAGGTGAGGTGATGAGCATCAAAGGTACACCCATGACCCCATGTTTCCTCACTCATTGGTCCAAAGAAGACAAAAGCAATACATCCCCCTCACCGCCATCATTCATTCGGCCAGCACATCTCAAGCAAGGGGAAAATATCCCAGAAAATATCATCCCCCATAGCCAAGAACAAGCTCAAGCAAGGGTGGTCCAAAATAAGGGGGATTAGAAGGAAAAAGTGAGAAAAAACTTGGATAATTAAGGTGATGACCTTATAATAACTTTTCCTTTACTTTTTATTTAAAATATGATTATGTATCATATGGAAGACCCCTCGGATTGTTGTACATGTTTAGAAGTGTAGGATGAGGGGTTGGAAGGTAGTTCTAAGTCCAAGGACGGACTTAGAAGCCAAAACGACCGGTTCTCCGGAAAATAACCTTTTAAGGGTTATTTGTGTTGATATGGGTTTTGTGATGATAAAACCATGTTAGGAGCTTGACTAAAGTGTTTCTTGAGTTCGCCGGAGTTTCGCCGGAGTTCGCCATAGTTTTGTCGGAGTTCCGTCGGAGTTCCGTCGGAGTTCAACCAAGAAAAGTAGAACTTCTTAAAGCTCATTTGAGGTGAGTGGATGACTTAATGTCTTGTAACTTTTGGGTTAAGAATGAGATTACCTAAGTAAATGTTACATGTGTTCATAATAATTTTTAAATGAGGTTAAACATGTGATTAGCCAAAGTGATTAGGCTTGTATGAAATGAACTATTGAGATATGCATGATTTGTGATATAAAAATGTTTATAAAAACATATGTGATATGTTTGAAGATAAATGGTGTATAATATGGTTGTATATAACTTACTTCATGTTGTGATTAACTTTGACACATATTGGATTTGAAATAGCGGGTCAACTGAGAGTTGACCGGTTGTCCAGGGGCAACCGGTGTCGGTCATGCATAGAACCAGCGCCGGTTTGAACGGGTTTAGCCCGGTTCATATTATTTGATTATGAACTGGCGCCGGTCAGGTTTGAACCGGCATCGGTTTGGCCTTATATTGCCTATATGTTGATTTTTAATGCATGAATTGCATGGATGATTTTGCTTAGGCCTTAAGACTTGGTTTAGTCTTATTGTTGATTATGATATAGACCTTATCTAGTATGATATGTGGTAGATCATAGGTCGGGTGGAATACCCAAGGATCGGGAGGTATCCTCAAAACTCGGTTATGTCGGGTGGAGTACCGAAGGATCAGGCGGTATCCTCAAAACTCGGTTATGTCGGGTGGAGTACCCAAGGATCGGGCGTTATCCTCAAAACTCGGTTATATAGGGTGGAGTACCCAAGGATCGGGCGTGTATCCTCAAAACTTAAAGATTACTGTTTAGTAATTCAGGACCGGACGGTGTCCTTATGATTATTTGATTTGGACAGGAGGAGTCCTATACACTCATAGGTCTGTGGGTGGGTTGGGGTTAAGTCAAGGACATTGACTACTATTATTTTTCCCAAATAAACAATGACCTACGGGTCGGGTATTTCCAAGTGTATATAAGTACTGATATGTATTTTGTAACTTGGGGTAAAGAAGTTTAAGTATATGTATCACCATATGTTTGGGTCTTATACTTGAAACGTTAGTTACCCTATATTTAGCTTGCTACTCGCTCGGTACTTGTACTGACCCCTTCGGGGGGGCCACCATTTCAGGTTGAAGCTATAGCCTGTTGTGTGCACCTTTGCACGGGTGGAAAGAATCTAAAGGAAGACGTGGTTCGTGCTTCCTTTGTATTTTAAATCATAAACTATGCTCATGGATACTTTTGTAATACTACATTGTTTTGGCCTGCGAGCCTACGTTTTGCCATATGTGGCTTATGACTGACCGTTGAATAATTTCCGTTATTCATTCAATCTATGATGTGAGGTTGTTATGTATGTTTACTACTGAGTATGGTGTGAACGATGTTCATGAACGCCTTGTGTGATTATGTGAGGTTGACTTGCGAGCGACGTCACTTAATCACACGGTGGTTGTACACGCGCTTAGATGCGGTCTGGGGCGTGACACCACATGTTATTTTAGGAGTCCTAAAATAATATTACTTCCGTCCTGAAAAGCTTTGTCATTTTCAAAACTTTGACCAACTATATATTTTTACTGAAAATTATTTATAATATAAAAATTATATGAAAATGTTCTTTGTTAAAAGTACTTTCATAAAAGTATAAATGTTATAACTTCCATAATATTGTGCTAATCTAAATCATGGTTCAAATTTTATGAAATGACAAAAAAATTTAGGACAGATGTAATATGTGGTGGAGATGATGTTATCATACTCTATGTGACTCTTTAACAGAGTCACATATGGTTCCATAAAACTACTCGTAGTAATACATGATTTCCAAATATCACCCGATGTATATAATCACCTACTCACCTGGGCCTGTCAATGGGTCGTGTTAGATACACATTCTAGAATAGTCTATTGTACTTAATATGTGTTTGTTAGAGTCGGTTAGAGTTAGTTAGTAGTCTGACCTAACCGATTCTATATATATCTTGTAATGCTGCTCCAGAACAATTAAGTAATAATAATAAGCTTCTTCTATCTCTCTCTGTACGATTTCTATTATGGTATCAGAGCTGTAGCTCGAATCCATGGTGATCTCAGATGATTCTTCCCATTTTACTACCAATTCTGGCAATTTGAATTCTCCTGTAACCTTCGCACATCCACTACCGATCAAACTCGATGCAAATAACTTTATCTTCTGGAAGCATCACGTGGAAGATGTTGTTCGAGTGCATAAACTCCTTCGATTCATCGTGAAACCTCAATTTCCGAAGAAATTCAACTCTAATGACGATGAAGCAAGTAAAAATGTCAATGCTGAGTATACTATCTGGGAGCAACAAGACCAGACACTACAAGAAATTTGTTGATTTGCAATGGAAAATTCTGTTGCAAAAAGATAAATTTTCGTTGCAATTCGTGTTTTGCAACAATAAATGCAATGGACATAATTCAATTGCTGTTTACGTCCTTGCAATTTTTGCATTGCTGATGTGATCTGTTGCAATGGTTTGCGATGGAAAAAGCAATGCATGAAATTTCCGTTGCATTTCGTTTGCAACACTTGTAATATGTTGCATTTTCCATAGCAAATATTGCAATGTCCTTTTCCATTGCAAAATAATGCAATGAAATTTTGATTGCAATTTCTATTGCATATATTGCAATAATATTTGATTTTCATTGCAATGATTTTTCTGTTGCGAAAGTGCAATTGAAAGTGCAATTGATTTAATGTTTGTTGCAAATACCATTCCTAAATTGCATCGATATAAAAATAAATATTTTGTTGCAATTTCTATTGCATATATTGCATAGATAAAAAGTACAAATTTAAATACGGAATTCAAATGTAAATATTTATATATATTATATATATTAGCATTCAAAAAAATACAGAGTATAACAAAAAAGTCATCCTCTAGGTACCACTTTAAAACTAAAAAATGTGCAAAACGTTAGGGACATGCCCCCGGTTCCAAAGCCCAGAATTAGTTTCAAAGAGCTATTTAAATAGTCTATCCAACAAAGTGAGCGTACGTCCAAGATCAACCAAAATATAAAAAAAATCCCTAGACCTACAAA